TATATATATATATATATATATTGATGTATGTGTGTGAGTATGTAAATGTCTGTGTGATGTCATTGACACATTGTTGATTTATTGAGATAATCTGTGAAGCTGAACGCATCTTCAGAAACATTTTGTAAAAGCCAGCATAGCTGGAGAATCCTGACTTAATCCTTTATCCTGCTTTGGTGAACTAGGCCTCAATTAGATGACTGTTGTTGCCAACATCCTGATTTAAGTAAAAACACAGAGGAATGTCACATCACAAAAATAGCTCGACTCTAGTGTGTAGCGAAGCTAATTTTCATTGAATTAGGAGTTTTTTTTTCCTTTTGTTCATTACTGATGAGAAAGTTGAATCTTTGATAGATGTTTCTTTCATTGTTTTTTCATTACTCAGGTCAGTGGAACGAATACCAAATATGAGTTTGAAGAAATCATTTTAGACCGGGTGAGTATATCTGTCCACACCATTTTGATACATCTCAAAATTCTTGAAAAGATAGAAAACATTAAGATTAGTTGACTTTCTCTTTAACTTGTAATCGTGAGATAAGCAAGAAAATGCTTAAATCTAATAATCTCTATTTTATTGTCCTTTAATTATCTATTAACAGTTAATTTCCCACTAGAGCTAAACAAATCTGAGATTAAGAATATCTCCCACATCTGTTCCAAAGGAGCCGTCAATCAACAATAATGCAGTAAATTGAAAAAAAAACTCAAGCTCTATCTTCTACTCAGGAAAAAACTGGAAAAACTGACAATCTTCTACATAACAATCTGTTATCAGTGCACCAGTCATTAAAATTCCTGCTCTGCAGATGTGTATATATGCAGCAATGGCAAAGACATAAAGTTTGTAAAAATCATGGCTCTCTAACTTCTTGCTCTCCTACTTGACAGCTAAACTGAACAATATAGCTTCTGCTTTATTTCCCAGCTTGCTAATTATAGCGGTTGGAACCCTTTTTTTATAAATGATTTCCTGCAGAACCTCCTGTATCTGCTTTTGTCACAATTCAAAAAGCTGTTAAAGCATTAGAGAGTTTCATTGCACACATCTATTTCATAATTCATCTATAGATTTAGAATAATCTGACTGCTGTTGGTAGAGAATAAATTCATTCAGTTTAAATGATTCCATCATGCCCCTATAATAAAAGTTAGGCGGTCAAAAATATTTGGTAATTTTGACCCTATCTATGGCTGCTGGCTCCTGTAACTGATGTTTACATGAATGGGTTTTATCCTATTTTAAGCTTTTATGAAGTGTTATTAGTGCTGCAGGAAAACAAATTATACCCTCAGCTAGCATTGCTAGATTTTTGGACATCACCTCCCTAAGCATTGCTCTGGCTGATGCCGGGTTTTCCAGCCTTCGTTTTGGTGTAAAGTCTAAATCTGTCAGTGTGGGTAAAATATTACATTGGGTCACATTGGATAATAGAAGTGCTCTATTTTGTTAAATTGTAGCTAATAGGGCTACATTCACACTGCAGGCCTTAATGCTTAATTCCGATTTTTTGTGAAATACGATTCTTTTGTTTGGTCATTCACATTACCATATATTCGACTTGTATGTGATCTCCTGTGTGAGCTGCATTCACACAACTTAATTTTCCCACATGCGCAGTAGTGTCATGAAACGCGGGCAGATGGACCCAGTATTCAAGGAGAGACAGTCAGTAGGAAAGTTCAAAAAGTTTATCAAATAAAACAAAAACTAAAGTGGAGCTGTGGCTCTTGGACACTGCAGGATGGGGAGCGGGGCACCGCCCAATCACAGACACTCTGCAGGGGGAAACACAGGTAAGTGACCACGATCATCTGACAGAAGATGATTATCTGAGTTGGACACTTACCTGGTTTAACAGTCCAGTCCAAGAATGTCCCCCAAGTGCTGCAGTCCCAGAGGACATGCTGGAAGCCGATCCTGGTCAGGGATCCAGAACAGACAGGAACAGGATCCAGATCAGGCAGGAACAGAACAGGTGGCAGGATCCAGACTTCCAGGCATCCACAAGCTCCCAGGAGGGTTCAGAGTCTGACTGGGACCTGAAGCATGACCAGGTGGTCACGCACAGGAGCAGACAGGATCAGGTGCAGAGGAGCAGGCTCAGTGGAAGAGGGTAGCCGAGACAGGACGTGGAACCAGAACTTGATGCAGGACTTGAAACAGGTCTCATCCCTGGAGCCAGGCTTACTTGGATAAAAACTGAACCTCCCCACATATAGAGCCAAAAACCCAAAGGACTCCGCGGGGGAGGAACAGTGGATGATCAGGAGATGAGACAAACACAAAAACCCTCTTTTCACTGGCTGCTAGGATCCAGGACATGAACCATGAAATCAAAAACTAAACGGACAGACTAACAGAAAGACAAGTAATGATCTGGCACTGAATGCTCAGGCTGAATATAACCAAAAGCAAACAGGTGAGAGGAATACATTATAATTGAAGCAGGGAGGAAAATGGCAGGTGAAAGAGATTATCAATTAAGGAGGAGCAAACAGGCCAGATCATGACAAGTAGAGGACGCAATGACATCATAAGCTGACCTACTCTGAGTTTAGGGAAGTCAACATGGATGGTTGTTCTGGAGCACATCTAGCAATCTTCATTTCTTTCCCAACCTCAGCCAGTGCATTAACAACTGAATCTTTTCAAGGTTGAAAATAAAGACGTTTCTCTGCATTATCGGCTGGCATGGCTGTTGTTTTCTTCCTTCTTCTGTGTAGAAAGATGCAGAATAATGATCTTTGTTTAGTATTAATCACGTTCAGGTCGGATGAATGCTACCTGGCCGTTAAGACACAGGTCACATTTGAAAAGATCAGATTTGTATCAGATTCAGGACATCAGAGCCAAGGGGCCTGGGTCACATTGGAAAATATTATAGGCCCCTCTATGACTATAAAGGGAATTTGGACTTATGTGATGTTTGTGATTAATGCATCTTCTACTCTACTTGAAGTTCATTTTCTTTAGTTGGTTTAGTTGAATTGTCATCTTCTAATTGGAATTGTCTCTTGGACAATGCCATTATCATTCTGATATTATTATGTTGTGCTTATTTTCTTTACTAATTTTGACAAATATTTTAAATTAACTCACTCATCCACTTTCCATTGATTTACATTGCTTCATGATAACCATAAACCTAAATATTACCAGTACATACTCAACCCTAAACCTGTTTTTTTTTTTTGCCACAGGGTGACTCAGCGCTCGGTTTTACTATAGCTGGAGGAGCTGATAACCCCCAAATCAATAATGATCCTGGGATCTTCATAACTAAAATCACCCCTAAAGGAGCTGCAGCAGAGGATGGACGTTTGAGGTAAGACTCTAGCTGAATATGGGTTTTTTATGAAGGTTATTTTATTTTAAAACTGTTTGTGCATTGTAAGTGTGAATTTGAAGTTGTAGAGAGAGTTATATTCTAAGTTTTTTATTTGTAGAATAAAAAAAAATCAAAAGTACACTTTTTGTTTTAGTAGAAGTACACAAATTCTGTTCTACAAGTTGCACATCAAAAGTCTCTTACATTCTCAGTTTTGCTCCAAGTTGTCCAGAACTATTGTTGAAAACTATTTCTGCAATGTAACTTTGGTGTTTTGTAATTGTAGATTTTTTAATCTGTCACAATTACAAAATTAGTTATACCTCTTCAAATTCTTGAGCACAAGCACACAAATTATTTTCTGTGAGTTGCACATCAAACATGTCTTCCATTCAGTTATGCTACAGTTGATCTAAAACAAATTGTGCAAAAAAAATTCAAACACGTGTATCACAATCTTCAAAAAATATATATTTATTTCCTTAACACAAATACAAATCAATGAATGCCACTGCACGAACCTGCTGCTATAAGTCACAATTTCAACTTTGCAAGTTACAACTTCATTTTTACTTTTGACCCAAATGTCACGCTGGTAAAAATGATCTGTAACTTGTGGGTTTGCTGCTCGGTCAGTTGGACATACATATAACGCCTACTGCCATGTTTCTTTCCAAGGACCCAGCCCGCATATGACTTCGAAGGACGCCAAATTTATTTCAAAATGTATCAAGGGTAAATTTCTTCCTATTTCAAAAATTGTGGTTTTTGCACTTAAGTACTTTACGTTCTTGTTTCATTTGCAAATTAATAACTTTTCCTGTTATGCTAACTTCTCATAAGTATTTTTTCAATGAAACATTTATAATTTACCTAATAAAAAATAACACTACTTCTGTTTCGTTTCTCAGGCTATGATAAAGCTAATCTATTTTAGTTTGCAGATAGTATTCTCAGCTTATATCTAGTATTGGCTAGGTTGATCATATTTACCTCTGAAATCTTAATCAAGTTTTATCTCGAAGGGTGATGATAATTTAACAAAAATATACACTACTCTCTGTGTAAGTCGATATTACTGAGTGATTAAGAATTAGCTATTCAAAATGGGTAATTTGAATTTGGTAATTTCAAATAAAGTGAAATTGTCAAATCAAACCTGTCATGATGTTACAAAGTTCAGACCCAAATGCAGAAAACCCAATAGAGAGACCAGGGAAAAGTTTAACGGGTTTTATTGAAGAAGTTAAACAGAGGGAGAAGTGTTGCTCAGAACACAGCTCAACCGGAACTGCAAAGTGAGGGGAAGACACAGCGGTTAGTTCAGGCTCAGTGGGGATTTTGACTTGTGAACTTGGAGAAGAGGATTTGATTGCCGACTCACGTTTCCAGAGAAGTTGTTGAATCCTTGACTCCTGTCTGTGTGCCGTGGTTCCAGTGTTTGTCTGATTCGGTGGAGGGCAGAACAGGGTTACCCAGAATGCGGCTGTTAGTTGGTGAACTAAAAATTTCCTGCGGTGGAGAATAATCCCTTTCTCAGTGAGAAGCTCAAACGACCTCTTGGGGAAAGTGGATCCAAACCTCCTGTTTGAACCCCGGCTCAGTTTGAAGCTCAGTTGATCCTTCCAGGGAGAGAAGGTCAGAGAAAACGTTTGCAGGATGACTTCCCAAAACTGGCAAACACTCTGGTGTCGAGGTAGTGACAGTAAGCAGCTTAAGAACACTCTGTTGAACGAGGAAACCATCAGCAAGTGTGTGAGGAGGCGGACCAGAACCAGGCGCCTCCTGGTGGAGGAAGGGAGACAAACACAGAAACACAAACACAAAGACAGGAGTCCTGAAAAAACCCAAGCAAAGGGTATTCTGTTTTTAATTAACTTCAGCATATGTTTTCTTCAATGGAAGCAAAATGAAGCCTGATAACTTTCTGTAATTGTTGAGGTGTATCTCCAGGTTCTTCTGGATTTTCCAGGGGATCGATGAAAACATCTAAAAGCCATTTCTTTGGTCTGACATTGGTTAATCAGTTATGGAGATAAATAAGGTTTGTTAACCCCAAAACATGCCTAAATCAAACATAGCTTGAAGTTTTCTTGATTTCTAGGAAATTTTATCAGTTGTGATGACTTGCACAAGAGCTACCTCTGGTTGGAGTCTGCTCTTTGAAGAACATGGAGGATGGGCCCCTTAGGCTACTTTCAGACAGCAGTCTGAAGTGACCCAAAGCTGATTTTATTCCAATGCGACCCAGGCCACTTGGATATGTGGTCCTGAATCCGATACGAAGTTCATGCTTTCAAATGCAACCTGTGTCTGAACAGCCAGGTCGCATTCATCCGACCTGTACGCCATTAATACCCGACAAAGGTCACTATTTTTGCTATGCAGAATCGGCAAGAAAAACAACAACCTTGGCACGATGAGTAGTATTTATGTTTAACTATATTGAAAAGATTGCGTTTTTAAGATTGGCAAAGATCGCGAGATGTGCTCCAGCACTACCATCAATGTTTACTTCCGTAAACGCAGCGCATACTGGCTTGTGACATCATTACGTCCTCTACTGCGCATGCGGGACACCTGCATTGTATGAATGCAGTTCACACAGGAGATCACATACAACAGAACAATATTTATTTTCAACCTTTTTGTAAGATTATGTTGTTAATGCATTGGCTGAAATTGGGAAAGAAATGAAAGATCTCTAGATGCGCTCCAGCACACATAATTTCGTTCTCTACTGCACATATGGCACACTTAAGATGTGTGAAGGCAGGTAACTCAGGACATCACATAAAAATCACATAATTTGTGATAAATTTTAACGACTACACAAAAGAATTGGATTTCAGAAAAGAAAATCAGTAGGGGTGTAAATAATAATCGTTTTGTATCGATGCATCGATCCAA